GTGTGCGCAGGTGGTGCTGGGGCTGACGGAGCGCGCGTGCGTGTGTGTGTTGTTGCGGTATAGTACGGTGCGGTGTGCGCAGGTGGTGCTGGGGCTGACGTAACGCGCGTGCGTGTGTGTTGTTGCGGTACAGTACGGTGCGGTGTGCGCAGGTGGTGCTGGAGCTAACGGAACGCGCGTGCGTGTGTGTTGTTGCGGTACAGTACGGTGTGGTGTGCGCAGGTGGTGCTGGGGCTGACGGAGCGCGCGTGCGTGTGTGTGTTGTTGCGGTATAGTACGGTGCGGTGTGCGCAGGTGGTGCTGGGGCTGACGTAACGCGCGTGCGTGTGTGTTGTTGCGGTACAGTACGGTGCGGTGTGCGCAGGTGGTGCTGGGGCTGAGGGAACGCGCGTGCGTGTGTGTTGTTGCGGTACAGTACGGTGCGGTGTGCGCAGGTGGTGCTGGGGCTGACGGAGCGCGCGTGCGTGTGTGAGTTGTTGCGGTATAGTACGGTGCGGTGTGCGCAGGTGGTGCTGGGGCTGACGTAACGCGCGTGCGTGTGTGTTGTTGCGGTACAGTACGGTGCGGTGTGCGCAGGTGGTGCTGGAGCTAACGGAACGCGCGTGCGTGTGTGTTGTTGCGGTACAGTACGGTGTGGTGTGCGCAGGTGGTGCTGGGGCTGACGGAGCGCGCGTGCGTGTGTGTGTTGTTGCGGTATAGTACGGTGCGGTGTGCGCAGGTGGTGCTGGGGCTGACGTAACGCGCGTGCGTGTGTGTTGTTGCGGTACAGTACGGTGCGGTGTGCGCTGGTGGTGCTGGGGCTGACGTAACGCGCGTGCGTGTGTGTTGTTGCGGTACAGTACGGTGCGGTGTGCGCAGGTGGTGCTGGGGCTGACGTAACGCGCGTGCGTGTGTGTTGTTGCGGTACAGTACGGTGCGGTGTGCGCAGGTGGTGCTGGGGCTGACGTAACGCGCGTGCGTGTGTGTTGTTGCGGTACAGTACGGTGCGGTGTGCGCAGGTGGTGCTGGGGCTGACGTAACGCGCGTGCGTGTGTGTTGTTGCGGTACAGTACGGTGCGGTGTGCGCAGGTGGTGCTGGGGCTGACGTAACGCGCGTGCGTGTGTGTTGTTGCGGTACAGTACGGTGCGGTGTGCGCAGGTGGTGCTGGGGCTGACGTAACGCGCGTGCGTGTGTGTTGTTGCGGTACAGTACGGTGCGGTGTGCGCTGGTGGTGCTGGGGCTGACGTAACGCGCGTGCGTGTGTGTTGTTGCGGTACAGTACGGTGCGGTGTGCGCAGGTGGTGCTGGGGCTGACGTAACGCGCGTGCGTGTGTGTTGTTGCGGTACAGTACGGTGCGGTGTGCGCAGGTGGTGCTGGGGCTGACGTAACGCGCGTGCGTGTGTGTTGTTGCGGTACAGTACGGTGCGGTGTGCGCAGGTGGTGCTGGGGCTGACGTAACGCGCGTGCGTGTGTGTTGTTGCGGTACAGTACGGTGCGGTGTGCGCAGGTGGTGCTGGGGCTGACGTAACGCGCGTGCGTGTGTGTTGTTGCGGTACAGTACGGTGCGGTGTGCGCAGGTGGTGCTGGGGCTGACGTAACGCGCGTGCGTGTGTGTTGTTGCGGTACAGTACGGTGCGGTGTGCGCAGGTGGTGCTGGGGCTGACGTAACGCGCGTGCGTGTGTGTTGTTGCGGTACAGTACGGTGCGGTGTGCGCAGGTGGTGCTGGGGCTGACGTAACGCGCGTGCGTGTGTGTTGTTGCGGTACAGTACGGTGCGGTGTGCGCAGGTGGTGCTGGAGCTAACGGAACGCGCGTGCGTGTGTGTTGTTGCGGTACAGTACGGTGTGGTGTGCGCAGGTGGTGCTGGGGCTGACGGAGCGCGCGTGCGTGTGTGTGTTGTTGCGGTATAGTACGGTGCGGTGTGCGCAGGTGGTGCTGGGGCTGACGTAACGCGCGTGCGTGTGTGTTGTTGCGGTACAGTACGGTGCGGTGTGCGCTGGTGGTGCTGGGGCTGACGTAACGCGCGTGCGTGTGTGTTGTTGCGGTACAGTACGGTGCGGTGTGCGCAGGTGGTGCTGGGGCTGACGTAACGCGCGTGCGTGTGTGTTGTTGCGGTACAGTACGGTGCGGTGTGCGCAGGTGGTGCTGGGGCTGACGTAACGCGCGTGCGTGTGTGTTGTTGCGGTACAGTACGGTGCGGTGTGCGCAGGTGGTGCTGGAGCTAACGGAACGCGCGTGCGTGTGTGTTGTTGCGGTACAGTACGGTGCGGTGTGCGCAGGTGGTGCTGGGGCTGACGTAACGCGCGTGCGTGTGTGTTGTTGCGGTACAGTACGGTGCGGTGTGCGCAGGTGGTGCTGGGGCTGACGTAACGCGCGTGCGTGTGTGTTGTTGCGGTACAGTACGGTGCGGTGTGCGCAGGTGGTGCTGGGGCTGACGTAACGCGCGTGCGTGTGTGTTGTTGCGGTACAGTACGGTGCGGTGTGCGCAGGTGGTGCTGGGGCTGACGTAACGCGCGTGCGTGTGTGTTGTTGCGGTACAGTACGGTGCGGTGTGCGCAGGTGGTGCTGGGGCTGACGTAACGCGCGTGCGTGTGTGTTGTTGCGGTACAGTACGGTGCGGTGTGCGCAGGTGGTGCTGGGGCTGACGGAGCGCGCGTGCGTGTGTGTTGTTGCGGTATAGTACGGTGCGGTGTGCGCAGGTGGTGCTGGGGCTGACGTAACGCGCGTGCGTGTGTGTTGTTGCGGTACAGTACGGTGCGGTGTGCGCAGGTGGTGCTGGGGCTGACGTAACGCGCGTGCGTGTGTGTTGTTGCGGTACAGTACGGTGCGGTGTGCGCAGGTGGTGCTGGAGCTGACGGAACGCGCGTGCATGTGTGTTGTTGCGGTACAGTACGGTGTGGTGTGCGCAGGTGGTGCTGGGGCTGACGGAGCGCGCGTGCGTGTGTGTGTTGTTGCGGTACAGTACGGTGCGGTGTGCGCAGATGGTGCTGGGGCTGACGTAACGCGCGTGCGTGTGTGTTGTTGCGGTACAGTACCGTGCGGTGTGCGCAGGTGGTGCTGGGGCTGACGTAACGCGCGTGCGTGTGTGTTGTTACGGTACAGTACGGTGCGGTGTGCGCAGGTGGTGCTGGGGCTGACGGAGCGCGCGTGCGTGTGTGTTGTTGCGGTACAGTACGGTGCGGTGTGCGCAGGTGGTGCTGGGGCTGAGGGAACGCGCGTGCGTGTGTGTTGTTGCGGTACAGTACGGTGCGGTGTGCGCAGGTGGTGCTGGGGCTGACGGAGCGCGCGTGCGTGTGTGTGTTGTTGCGGTATAGTACGGTGCGGTGTGCGCAGGTGGTGCTGGGGCTGACGTAACGCGCGTGCGTGTGTGTTGTTGCGGTACAGTACGGTGCGGTGTGCGCAGGTGGTGCTGGAGCTAACGGAACGCGCGTGCGTGTGTGTTGTTGCGGTACAGTACGGTGTGGTGTGCGCAGGTGGTGCTGGGGCTGACGGAGCGCGCGTGCGTGTGTGTGTTGTTGCGGTATAGTACGGTGCGGTGTGCGCAGGTGGTGCTGGGGCTGACGTAACGCGCGTGCGTGTGTGTTGTTGCGGTACAGTACGGTGCGGTGTGCGCAGGTGGTGCTGGGGCTGAGGGAACGCGCGTGCGTGTGTGTTGTTGCGGTACAGTACGGTGCGGTGTGCGCAGGTGGTGCTGGGGCTGACGGAGCGCGCGTGCGTGTGTGAGTTGTTGCGGTATAGTACGGTGCGGTGTGCGCAGGTGGTGCTGGGGCTGACGTAACGCGCGTGCGTGTGTGTTGTTGCGGTACAGTACGGTGCGGTGTGCGCAGGTGGTGCTGGAGCTAACGGAACGCGCGTGCGTGTGTGTTGTTGCGGTACAGTACGGTGTGGTGTGCGCAGGTGGTGCTGGGGCTGACGGAGCGCGCGTGCGTGTGTGTGTTGTTGCGGTATAGTACGGTGCGGTGTGCGCAGGTGGTGCTGGGGCTGACGTAACGCGCGTGCGTGTGTGTTGTTGCGGTACAGTACGGTGCGGTGTGCGCTGGTGGTGCTGGGGCTGACGTAACGCGCGTGCGTGTGTGTTGTTGCGGTACAGTACGGTGCGGTGTGCGCAGGTGGTGCTGGGGCTGACGTAACGCGCGTGCGTGTGTGTTGTTGCGGTACAGTACGGTGCGGTGTGCGCAGGTGGTGCTGGGGCTGACGTAACGCGCGTGCGTGTGTGTTGTTGCGGTACAGTACGGTGCGGTGTGCGCAGGTGGTGCTGGGGCTGACGTAACGCGCGTGCGTGTGTGTTGTTGCGGTACAGTACGGTGCGGTGTGCGCAGGTGGTGCTGGGGCTGACGTAACGCGCGTGCGTGTGTGTTGTTGCGGTACAGTACGGTGCGGTGTGCGCAGGTGGTGCTGGGGCTGACGTAACGCGCGTGCGTGTGTGTTGTTGCGGTACAGTACGGTGCGGTGTGCGCTGGTGGTGCTGGGGCTGACGTAACGCGCGTGCGTGTGTGTTGTTGCGGTACAGTACGGTGCGGTGTGCGCAGGTGGTGCTGGGGCTGACGTAACGCGCGTGCGTGTGTGTTGTTGCGGTACAGTACGGTGCGGTGTGCGCAGGTGGTGCTGGGGCTGACGTAACGCGCGTGCGTGTGTGTTGTTGCGGTACAGTACGGTGCGGTGTGCGCAGGTGGTGCTGGGGCTGACGTAACGCGCGTGCGTGTGTGTTGTTGCGGTACAGTACGGTGCGGTGTGCGCAGGTGGTGCTGGGGCTGACGTAACGCGCGTGCGTGTGTGTTGTTGCGGTACAGTACGGTGCGGTGTGCGCAGGTGGTGCTGGGGCTGACGTAACGCGCGTGCGTGTGTGTTGTTGCGGTACAGTACGGTGCGGTGTGCGCAGGTGGTGCTGGGGCTGACGTAACGCGCGTGCGTGTGTGTTGTTGCGGTACAGTACGGTGCGGTGTGCGCAGGTGGTGCTGGGGCTGACGTAACGCGCGTGCGTGTGTGTTGTTGCGGTACAGTACGGTGCGGTGTGCGCAGGTGGTGCTGGGGCTGACGGAGCGCGCGTGCGTGTCGGGCGCGCGCTCGACGCTGGTGACGGTGCGGCGCGCGCGCCTGGTGGAGGACGGCTACCGGCAGCTGGCTGCGCTGCCCGCGCGCGCGCTCAAGGCTGTCGTACGCGTGCGCTTCGTCAACCAGCAGGGACTTGACGAGGCGGGCATCGACCAGGACGGCGTGTTTAAAGGTACTAGTAATCGCCTAGTGGTTTGTTTTTAGCCGTCATTCATTAAATCATTTAATTTGTATCTACATTTGCAAGGTGTATTTCACTTTCAACTGCACAATAATAAATAATAGAACACAAAATTTCTGTTAAGTATACAAAATACTGAAAATATATACAAAGTATTGAAAAATCAACATTTGAAATCACACAAAACAGTTCATTCAGTCAATCAGTTAAAACTTATTTGTCGGAAACAAGTTTAAATTCAAGATACTATGAGCTCATTCTGCGTACGTCGGACCAAAAGACGAAATATCCAAAAACTGAAGTTAGCCGGGCTAACTATGACATCGGGACGTCAAACTGCTCAGTCCCCCCCCCCCCCCCCCCCGCGACCATAGATGCTATAAAGCACCCGAGACGTCGGGAATTGAAAAGTTAAATTAAACGCGATAAAATCCGTAAAAATTAGTTTCATTTAAGTTTAAATTCTTTGGCCACGATCTAAAACCGGCGCCAGATACATACAGTTTTATACATTTGAACACTTGTTTGAAGCCATGTGTAGCACGGGACTTTGAATCAATGTTCAAATAAGTGCGCCAATAAATGCACTTCGCCAAGCTGTTTCGGTGTTTTAGCGCACATCAAAGCGTTCAAAGTCGACAATTTTCAAATGTTTGCTTAGTCTGGCACACTTGCGCAAAGCTCAGTCGTAAAAAATAACATTAAATAATATTATCTTTGTAATGGAACTACTAACTACGCCGTGTAGTGGAGGTTAAGAATATCCACTACCCCATATATCCAGTGGGTGTCAGTGGGAAACAGGCAGGAGATGGGCAGCAGCATCTTCCTGATAACAGCAAAATTACAATAAAAAAACTGCGGTTGCCAACCCGCTCGCCAAGCATGGCAACCCTGGCAAATACCCCCCAATGATGAGAGTAACAAAGAGACGGCCCCCAGTCCCCGGCGGCCCTGCTATTCCTGGCTACGGTGGCGACCATGGTAACAGCGGGGTAGAGGGTACTAAGAATCTCCGGTGTAGGTTTGGTTGCCACCTAAGAACGACTGGACCTGGCACAATACAACGCACGCACCCTGAGGACTGACGAGAAGATCATAGAGCTGGAAGAAGAGATAGATAAGTTACGCTGGCATATTATAGGATTATCCGAGGTCCGAAGAGAGGGGAAGGATACGGTAATCCTCGAATCCGTCAACTTGCTCTATCACCGGGAGGGCGACCATCTGTCCCAAGGAGGTGTCGGATTTATCGTCCACAAGTCTCTCGTTAACACCGTTGTAAAGATTGTGAGTGTGTCGACGAGGGTTGCGTACCTTATACTCAGAATCAGCAAACGGTTTTCGTTGAAGGTCATATAGGTTTACGCACCAACCTCGGCACATCCCGTTGAGGAGGTGGGGGAAATGTATGAGAATATATCTAGAGCCATGCATTCCTCCAAAACCAACTATACGGTGTTAATGAGAGACTTCAATGCAAAAGTAGGCACAAGAGAGAACGGTGAGCTTGAAGGTGGGGAAATTTGGAATGGAGCAACAAATCCCAAGGGGCCAGCAGCTGGCCGACTTCATGGAGAAAGAAGGACTGTTTATGATGAACTCTTTCTTCCAGTAGCGGCCCCACAGGAAGTGGACCTGGTCGAGCCCCGACGGTTCGACAAAAATTGAGATTGACTTCATTATGACGACCAGACGACAATTGTTCAGTGATGTCTCGTAGGCGAAAACTGGTAGCGATCAGCAAATGGTTAAAGGCACACTGAACGTAAACGTTAAGTTGGAGAGGTCTCGTCTAATGAAGTCAACGCTCCGTCCCCCTTGTGCTCTAGTCCAACGTCCGAAACCTTAGCTCAAAACCAGCTCGAGTTACAAAACCGTTTTCAGTGCCTAGAAGACTGCAATGAAGTGGACGATATGAATGACAAGCTCGTGGAAACTGTCCATGCGGTCGGAGCTAAGTTCTGCAAGACCCGCCGCAGAAGAACACAAAAACTCTCCGATCACACTCTTAATCTCATGGCGGTTAGACGCGAAATGAAGCTGCAGTCTTCAACAGATTTGACGGCATACAAGCAACTGAACAGACACATCTCCAAATGCATGATGCGGTGGACTTACGCAACTGCAATACAGCTTGTATTGAAGAAGCGATCAAGCGGAACCAAGTCTCCAAAGTCTGCCAGAGATCTGTCTGCCAGAAAGAGCCAATTGTGAAAGCTGAAGACCTAATGTGGCAGCATTGTTTCCGAGACACCTGAGATTTTGAGTCAGATTGAGAGGTGCTATGGGCAGCTGTACACGTCATCGTTGGTGCCACACACAAGAGTGAGTAACGATCCAAGAGCGAGTCTTATCCGACACTACTCCGATAATATTTCGGACTTCAGTCTGAGCGACATTAGAATGGCTCTCCAGCACCTTAAAAACGACAAGACTCCAGGTGAGGATGGAATTACAGCGGAGCTTCTGAAAGCGGGTGGTAAACCGGTACTAGTACTAGTCCTTCAGAAGCTCTTTAATTTCGTCCTCCATGGTGGCACTACGCCGGAGCAGAAGTGCGGTGGTCTTGATCTTCAAGAAAGGCGGCAACGCTCTTTTGAAGAATTACAGACCGATATCCCTTCTGAGCCGCGTCTACGTGCTGTTTTCGAGAGTCATTACGAATCGTCTCGCACGCAGACTTGACGACTTCCAGCCTACCGAACAAGCCGGTTTCCGAAAAAGCTTTAGTACCATGGGACACATACACACCCTTCGGCAAATTGTACAGAAGAAAGAAGAGTACAATCTGCCACTTTGCCTTGCGTATGTGGACTCTGGTCGACGAGAAAGCCTTTGGTTCCTTCGAAATTTGGGCGGTGCTACAGTCCCTTCAGCGGTGCCCAGTTGACTGTTGTTATATCAAAGTGCTGAAGTATTTGTACAGTAGGGTTACGATGGCTATCCGAGTACAGAATCAGAGGACGAAACCTATCCAACTGCAGAGAGGTGTAAGACAGGGTGACGTTATATCACCCAAACTCTTCACCGCGGCATTGGAAGACGTTTTCAAGCTACTAGACTGGAAAGGATACAATACATCACTCACCTCCGATTTGCCGACGGTATAGTCCTTATGGCAGAATCGCTAGAGGACCTAAGCACTATGCTCAATGACCTCAATAGTGTTTCCCAACGGATAGGTCTTAAGATGAACATGGACAAAACACCTCTGCCGGTAGTTGTTGGGAGCACTAAGCTCGAAGTTCTTGACGAGTATGTTTACCTGGGACAGATAGTCCGACTAGGTAAGTCCAACTTCGACCGAGAGGTCAATCGACGATTCAACTCGGCTGGGCAGTGTTCGGGAAACTACGACATATCTTCACGTCAGATAAACCTCAAAACTTGAAAACGAGATTGTGCAACCAGTGCGTGTTGCCAGTGATGACTTATGGATCTAAGACATGGTCCTTCACTGCTGGCCGTATGAGGACGCTCAAGATCGCACAGCGAGCTATGGAGAGGGCTATGCTCGGAGTTTCTCTGCGTGATAAACTTAGAAATGAGGATATCCGCAGTAGAACCAGAATAACCGACATACCCCAACGCATTAGTAAGCTGAAGTGGCAATGGGCCGGCCATATAGCTCGAAGAACCGACAACCGATGGGCAAGAAAGGTTTCGAGTGGCGGCCTCGTACCGGTAAGCGAAGTATAGGGCGACCCCCCACTAGATGGAGTGACGACATGGTAAGACGTGCAGGAAGTCGATGGATGCAGGTGGCTCAGGACCGTGATTTCTGGCATTCCTTGGGGGAGGCCTATGTTCAGCAGTAGACTTATGAAGGGCTGTAATGATGATGAATGATTGGTAGTATGAAATATGAATGTCAAACAAACGATTGCCTATTATACTTATGTTTGATATTGGTGGTATGGATGTAAACAATGAACGTTTTCATTTATTTAATTTATTGTGTTCGTAACACATATTATGTATAAATATTTGGATTTTCCCCTTTTTTCCGTATAATCTTTAACAATGCCAGATCAATATGAACTTGAATAATGCAAAGTTTTCCCATCACGTATTACGAGTAATATACAACGTGGCCGCTACATTGGTGACTTTAATTTAACACACGGATAGGGCTAGTGTCCATTAATCATATTTATTTACTTTATATTGTATTGTATTGTAATCATTTGATAGGTTAAAATAACTCGTACATGGAAAAAACATTCCAAATAAAGTTAATAATAAAAAAGTTACTAAAATTGGGATTACCCTTGCAAAAACTTAGTTATAACTGTCATTACTAATCACTACTTTTATTTGTCTTTATTTTAAATTTTCTTATTTTCAATAAGACCACCGCGTTGGCATATACAAAGAACTAAACGGCGTTTCATGTTTTCCCGCACATTTAAAGATAAATTGTCACTCAAAGCCATTTCCCTCAATTTCTCAAACGCATTTATTATTCGATGGCGTAATTGTTCCACCGAATCCATATTCTCCACGAACACATCGTCTTTGATGCACCCTCAGAAAAAAAATCGACTGGCATGAAGTCTGGCGATCTTGCTGGCGATCTACGAGGTCCAAATCTACCAATCCATTGTGCACCAAACGTGTCATTTAGTCATGGCCTGGCTGTTGTTAGAGTGTGTTGGCGTGCCCTCTAATTGGTACCACATTCGTTGGTATCAAAGTTAACGACGTTTAGATTGTTTGTGTATTCTGACACTGTATCATTTAGTATATTAACAAACCTTTCTCCGTTCAAAGCCCCATCAATGAATACGGGTCCGATGATGTTGTCACCGTGAATAGCTTCCCAAACATTTACCGAAAATCTGTACTGATGGGTTGAGTCCCGCCAAACGCGCGGAGTTTGGTTTTTGGGTTCCCAATGATCCAGATTGTACTGGTTTCACATGCCGTTTCTGGTGAACGTGCTTTCGTCAGTCCAACAAATTTGGGAAAGAAAGTCACTGTCCTTTTCAATTTTACTCAGTAACCACTGACAATAATTCACTCTTATTAATTTATCATGCGATAGGACAGTATGTACTTTCCTAAACTTGAATGGGTGCTACTTTTCGCGCTTTAATATCCTATGGACGGTTCTGTGATGGACTTGAAAATGCCTGGCGCTCTGGCAAAGGCTAGTTTTGGTTTGGTCTTCGAAATATTTTATCACATTGTCAGTTAACTGGATTAGATTTTGTTGTGTAGGCGGTCGATCAGGGCATTGAGACCTAGAATCCACTGGCCGGTTTTCGCAGATGCGCTCCTACAATAGTGCGAGGATGTTTAGGGCATTGTCTTGAATGACCATATCTCTCGCGATATGTCCTTATCGCAAGGGCGGCATTTTGACGTCATTCTCCGTAAATTAGGATCATGCCCGCAAATTCAGCTGCTGCGTAGTTTGGATGTGTATTTGCCATTACGATCACAAGTTTACACAAACACTAATAACATTTAAAAAAATACGTCCGTATCGCAAAGATGTAAACGAACTAGATTAAAAAACGAAAACAAAACAAAGCGTTTTTATCGCAGTATCATAATCTAATTACTATCCTAATTGCACAAAAATTAATAAATAAAACTATAGGTAAACGTCTTTTTCGCGGAAAAGTTTACAAAAATATAAGTCGACGTAATTATGCGCACTATTGTGAAGAAGTGTGTCAAGGACACATGTTCGGCTGGCACTAAAAAAGAAAAGCAAAAAAAGAATTCGATTTCGTGGCGGCGGGGTGGGAGGGCGCGCGTCGCCTGCGCCGCCCGCTCGCCGACAAAGGGATGTCTCTTTCCTTTAATAGTATTGCTTATTCATTTTAATTTCAATGATGTGATGTTATGATCCGTGACCCTGGCAAAGACCGCTGCGCGACAGTTGTTTAAGTACAGGTTGCTCTACGATGCTATTTTGTAAAATTTTAAATAAAAACGTAAATAATAACGTTTAATGGAAATATAATATCTTCATGAAACGATAATCTGAAAACGTATATGTGTGTTAAATTAAAGTCACCATTGTAGTGCACAACGTTCCACTACAATGGTGACTTTATAAATTACATGTTTTATCCCACGAAGGCGAGAGATGTTTTTAGCGGGGAGCGGTTTTGTCATTTAAATAATGGTGTGAAGTGAATTTTGATACGTAAGAGCCGATTTACATTTCGACAAGTACAGTATCGAGGTAACTTACGAATCTGGCGACTTAAGTAAAAATCTCGTTTGAACGGCAGTTATTGACTTAAGTAACAAATTAACAATTAAATTAAAAGGGATAGTTGGCCGGTTTTATTTTTCGGCGAGTCAAGTTCAAAGTGTTGAGTCCCGCGCGTCTCCCGCCACCCACACATTGTATCGATCATAGGATTACGAAAGTTAAAAGGAGAATTTCTCTTCAGAGTTCCTAGAGGAGACTATCAAGCGCGTCTTCGATCCGTCTCTAAATCTGTTCCGCGTGACGAGCGAGGAGCGACTGTACCCTTCGCCTACGTCATGTCTGCAGGAGAACCATCTGCAGTTGTTCGAGTTTATTGGCAGGATGCTGGGTAAAGCTGTCTACGAGGTTAGTTATCAAATAAAACAAAATGCTAAAGAATGTTTTTGATGATGATGTTAATGCACAATTGTAAAACAAAAAGAAAGATTTCAATATTTGAACTTTAGAAAAACATTTTATGGGCATGGATAGATTCCGTTTAAACCATAATATGTGACAATTTCTCCTTCTACCTTCATTATGCTTATCTTATTGATAAACAAGGCCATTCGTAGTATCGACCTGGAAAATTGTCAAACGGTACAGCATTTTAATCATCTGCTGTGCGCAATAAAACCCAGAGTCGTAAATATTTTTTATTGCGTCCGAGGAAGAAAGTTCCTAGCAATTTATAGATGATTGATAGATAGACCGATAGATGGCGTTGTATCCATTTCATTACGTCAGGCGTAAAATAACTAGCACGACTACAGAAAGTAGCGTCAAAGTTGCGAGACATTTAAATATTGAATAAAATGTGTGTAAATGTGTAAATATAGGAAATCGATAAGCAAGACATTTGGTACTGCGATCGTCCATCCATCTGCCAAGCGTATACGATTAAATTTAATCCTCCCTACAAAGATAGAGGCCCATGTTCAGAGTGATCTTTAAGAATAATAATTCCTATGTGTTGTTATAAAAAAAATACCAGACTGTTAATCATAAGAAGAAAACTAATGAAAAAGATATTTCAGATAAAAGTTACAGGCTATATACACAGGCCTGTTCTCGTTTCTGAGAGGGTTTTAGGGCAACGAAATGTCCGCCGCGCTGCCGTGTTGCATGTTGGCGAACTTCACATGTCTTCGAAATATATTTTTTTTTTCTTATTTCTCAGACATACAGGTTTACTCACGATGTATTTCTTCACCGGCGAGCACGTGGTGAATCAGTACTTAAAATTGCAATTAACAATTTCATTGTTGCCGTCGAGCATCGAACTCGGGTTGCTCAAGTACTGTGAAATTTATAGCGAGCGTTAAGCCCCTGAGCTACCACGGCTATTTGATATAAGTTGTAAATTATAACCGACATCAAATAGATATCATATTGAATATTAATTTGACTATTTCATTTTTAAATGTTTATATATCTTATACACACGAATTTCTTATTAATGACAACAAACCTTATACTTTCACACTGGTTTCATATAAATTTCTAACAGATCAGATGTTAAATAAAGATGGTTTCTTTTGCTTTAAAATAATCTCATTATTTTATTTTGTTATCATCAGGGTATCGTGGTGGACGTGCCATTCGCATCATTCTTCCTGAGCCAGGTGCTGGGGCAGACGCAGCAGGCGCTGTACAGCTGGATCGACGAGCTGCCGTCACTGGACCGCGACCTCTACCGCAGCCTCACCTACATCAAGCATTTCCAGGTCTTACATATTCCATTCATTCAGTCTTTCTATAATTCGAACACTTTCTAAAATTTGACTTCGAATTTGTCACCTTAAAAATTGGTTTCCACGACTACATATTATTATCCAATATATAAGTTCCAGATATTTCTCTATTTTTATTTATTTACAACCACTCCCTTTATAATGTGTGGTCTAAAATCTGCAATTTTATTGCAGTTTACTTTTAGTATGTTTTTGATACATAGGTTCTCTTGTAATAGGTTCAGATCTGTCTGGATTTCCTACTATTGAATTGATACTGGGTAGTACTGATGAAGTACTACTGGGTAAAAGAGAAGGGATAAATCCATGTAAAAGGTGATATGGCCCTTTAATCTAATCTACGATGTGTAACTGTTATTGAAAACTGCAAGGGCACCTAAATTATCTTTGGGTAATACCATATAGAACTATACTGTATGTGTATTACGTTGATAATTACAAAATTTTACGCTGTTCTTTATTTCGATCATTACAGGGCGACATCTCTACATTGGAGTTAACGTTTTCGGTGGATGAAGAGAGGTTGGGTGAAATTGTAACACACGAACTTGTACCGGGTGGAAAAGCTATTCCAGTTACCAATGAGAATAAGTAAGCAATATTCACAATATTTTGAATTTTATTTTATTTATTAACACAATACAGTTTACAGTTGTGAAAATGAAAGTTTCTTAAAATCAAATGATTAGGTACTAAACTGTAAGCCAAAACATGTGTTTATAAAGTAAATTATATAGAGTTACATCTGCTAAAGTTATAAATCATTTAATAAACAGTGGCTTTGCAATCAACCATCCAGCAAATTACAAGAGGCCTGTTACAGATTTAAAGCTAGAACAAAAGTATATAAGTATATAGATGAGACCAATTATTTCAGTTATTTCAGAATATCATGGATATATCTATTGAAGACATTTGGATTTGAACCTAAAATATCAATATTTGGATAACCACTGGGTATATATGATGTGTTGTTACGGTACACTTGGAGTAAAAACAGTTTAGACTTGCGGTCACGGGTCCTGTAGTGAGTGTTTATGTTAATCGACGCAAGTAGGGACGGAGAATCAATGGTAGAGTGCACTATATTACGTAGATGTATAAGCCCGAACCTTATGCGTCACGGTTCCAGTGTAACCATGTTAAATTTAATTATCAGTTAATAGTCATAGTCATAGTCATTTATTCCATAGAACAATATTACATTGTATTGGAAATTTATTACATGGATAAAGACATTTACATGCTATTATTTTAATTAAAATTGGAATCGATAAAATTTAAACATCATTTAACAAATTAATTAAATACTTTTCATGTCATAATACACTACAAATTACATTAAAAATTATACAATACATAAACAATAAAAATTAACATTGATTAAGTTTATTTTTGTCATTTAAGTAATCGTCAACTGAGTAGTAGCTTTTTTTAATTAATAAAGATTTTAATTTATTTTGAAATTTGTGGTGGCAATAAATAGTTTTAAATGAGGTAGGCAAAGAATTAAATAGTCCAATAGCTTGATATCTTGTGCTGTGCCGTACAACATTCAATGTTGGTGTGATAGAAATTTTTAAATCTTTTCGGCGGGTCATATCTCTCTTTTTCCTTTCTTCGTATGTTTCATATTTGTGAAAGTTCTTTACTAAATGAGTAAGTGAAACTAAGATATACAGAGAGGGAACCGTTAATATGCCAAGATTTCGGAAATGTTCCTTACACGATTCAATTTGTGGAATACGTAACATGGTACGGATCGCCCTTTTTTGTAGTACAAACGCTGCCTTAATATTATACTTATAACTATTGTCCCAGAATATTATGCTATAACGTAGTTTAGATTCTACCAGAGCAAAATAAACCATTTTTAGCTGTTCTAATGTAACTTCTTCTCGTAAACTTCTTAAGGCATAGCATGCTGAACTGATAGTGGATTCTAGTGCTTTAATTTCCTTTTTCCAATTTAAATACATGTCTATGTGGATTGTTAACATTTATTGAATCTTTTTGTCTTGCTGTAGATTTAAAAAGCATTGCGTATGTTTTATTTGTATTTAATAAAAGATCGTTTGTAGTAAGTAATACTGCTAGTTAATTTAATACTTAAAAAAAATCCAATAAAAACATTATTCGCCAAACACCTGCTAATATTAATGAATGATTGTTTTAATGACGTAATACTCTTTTCAATTAATGAATAACATTCGGTCATGGCGAGCAGGACCAAACACAGGTGCATTCTCTCTCAATAGTGAGACCCTGACGCTCATAATCCGATGGGACGGCAATCCGACACGACAGCGTCGCAGGACTAACGCCTTTACGTGCTTTTCAAGACACGGAGGTGAAACACCGCCAACTTCCTGGCTCCGAATCGCTACTGAGAATTTCTTGAAAAAAAACCTATTAAGTGATTATTTGGCCGCACCCTACATTTGAACCTATTTGACACGAGTTGCTCGCCGGCAGTAACAGTAAAAAAAAATAGATTTCCCTTTCAGAAGTAAGAGTGAAGAATCGGCACACAGTCCACCTCCATCCATTAACCAATGGTTAAATGGACCAACATCTTCAATTAGATTTAAGATTATTATTAATAATGACTAATAATTAGTAATGACTAATAATAAGTAGTAAACTTCTACCTCGGAGCTGAGTACAATTAGGAGTCAATATGGGATCATTATAAAAGGAGAAGAATGTGTGTTAAAGAGATGGAAAGAGCATTTTGAAAGTTTGTTTGAAAGAGAGGAAGTGGAGGTACAGCATCTGCCACCTTCCACGGAAACTAATATAAATGTTGATGAAAATGAGATAAGCATGGATGAAATAGTGAAAGCGTTGAAAAGTATGACATTAGGTAAGGCTGCAGGGTATGACAGGATTACCGTCGAGATGCTGAGGGCTGGACAGGGCCTGGTGGCTTGTCAGCTGTACCGCCTTTTCAATCTGTGCTGGCGAAATGGACAAGTACCGGGAGACTGGTGCAAAGCCGTAATCGTGCCATTGTATAAGGGAAAAGGGTCACGGCAGGACTGCATAAATTACCGCGGTATAAGCCTTCTCAGCGTCGTCGGTAAATTGTATGCGAAAGTGCTGATTGAAAGGGTTGTGAATGAAACAGACGAGAAAGTATGGGATGCACAAGCGGGATTTAGAAAGGGAATGGGGTGTACGGATCAGGTCTTTTCCTTGCGGTGCAAAGCCGAAAAGTATTTGGCAAAAAACAAGAAAGTCTACTGCGCGTTCGTAGATCTAGAAAAGGCCTATGATAGAGTGGTGAGGAATGAATTGTGGTCAGCACTGTCCGTGAACGGTGTGAGCAGTATCCTCATACAAGCAATGCAATCTCTTTATAGGGATTCTAGTGCTTGTGTAAGGATAAACGGGGCATACACTGAATGGTTTAATATCGAAAAAGGTGTTAGACAGGGATGTGTAGCGTCACCGTGGCTGTTTAATCTGTTCATGGACAATTGTTTGACAGATTTAAAAGAGAATGAAAGTGGGTTGAGAATGAATGACTTACTCGTCAAATGTTTTCTCTATGCTGATGACCAAGTATTACTTGCGTCTTCGGCCGAGGAGTTGCAGGAGATGGTAACTGCTATGAGTGGAGCTTTTATTAGAAAGGGAATGAAGATGAATGTAAGGAAGACGAAAGTGATGGTGTTTGAAAAAGATGAGGCAGTGACAGACTGCAATATTGTGATTGAAGATGAACAAATTGAACAGGTGAAAGAGTTTGTGTATCTGGGTTCAAAGTTTACAAGAGATGGAAAGTGTGAGAGTGATATCGAAAGAAGAGTGAATGCAGGAAACATGGTGAATGGAGCTTTGCACTCCTTTATGAGCAGTCGAAAGGTGTCTAACAAGGCTCGTTTGGCTGTGCATGAGGGGGTGTTGGTTCCGACACTCATGTACGGAAGTGAAACTTGGGTATGGCAGAAGAAACATGAAAACAGAATAAATGCAGTTGAGATGAGAGCATTAAGAAGTATGATAGGAGTTAAACTGAGTGACAGGATAAGAAATAGTGAGATAAGGAAACGTTGTGGTCTGAAAGAAGATGTAGTGACAAAATTTGAGAAAGGTATGCTGAGATGGTTTGGCCATGTCGAGAGAATGAATGAAGAACGATTGACGAAAAAAGTGTATAAGGCGAGTGTGAATGAAAGTGTTGGAAGGGGTAGACCTAGGCGGACATTTCTAGACCAAATCAGGGACGTCTTGAAAAAAGGCCAGGTCAAGAGTACCCTAAACCGTAGAGCATGTATGAAGGGAATAATGAAAGTGGACGAAGCGAAACAAGTATGTAAGGATCGTAGCAAGTGGAAAGAACTGGTCTCTGCCTACCCCTACGGGAAAGAGCCGTAATTATATGTATGTATGTAATAATTAGTTTCTATATAAAGTCTAAAAGTATCTTAAAAGTAATATTTTGAACAATTAAAATGCTTTAATAAGCAAAAAGTTATGATACATTAATTTCAAATATTGAGTAATATAGTAAAGTAAAGGCTTAATATTGTCCTTAATAATTCATTAAATTTACTAAAAATGCTTAAAATATTCAAAATTTATTAAATAACATAAATACAAGTCGATTATATTACAATAATACAGATAAATAACATTTATATCATAATTGGGAAATGGGTCAAAAATAATATTTCTAAGTTATGGAGTGTGATCATGCAATGCTTAAATCTTATTTTGTCAATATCTCAAAAACTACTGCTTCAAATTTAAAAATAATAACTATCTGTGTAATTAATTAACGTGTTGATTTTTTTCATACATATTATAAAAGATTTGACGAAGGCGCATACCTACTATTACTATATACTACGTAAATTCAGACATATATATGAGGTGATCGACCGCTGCTGACTACCGAAGTACTGTTGCCTAAGAATAACATACAGTCAGTCATCGCGTTTGATATTGCAGGAAAAGCCGACATAAACAATAAAATGCTAGGGTTATCAGAACGGAAACTAATAAAAAAAAACTGATTTTATTTTAATTAATAGAATCAGGCGTTACTTTGCGGAAGTGCATTATATTAAATTTGCCAAAAAATTACTTTGCGTACATCCCCTAGATAAAATAAAATGATGTGTCTTACCTAGTTTGAAGAGCACCTCCCGCCCTCCCTCAATTGCGTGCACTATCCCCGTCACCACTAACCCCAGCACCACTAGTTGCTAGGCAAGACACATCATTTTATTTTATCTAGCGGCTGTACGCAAAGTAATTTTTTGGCAAATTTAATTAATTTTTTGATTTTATTTTATTTCACGTTTAAACAATTTTTTTTATAGGAGAGGGGGCAAATGAGTATGCGGCTCACCTGATAATAAGTGCAGAGAGATGGGAACAGTATTTCATGTGAGGCCGAACCTGCGCCTTGTAAAGTTGCAGGCGGTGTGCCGGCATGAAATACTGTCCCGCTCTGCTGAGCACGCCAAGCTTTTTAGAGGACAATTTGGCTTTCTCTTCCAAGTGACCACGAAACTGCACGTCACTCGATATGTCGACTCTGAGGACACCGATACTAGCTGAGGCAACAAGTGGATTGC